ACACACACACACACACACACACACACACACACACACACACACACATTGAGGGTATGATAGGATTGCATTGACACCAGGTGACAATCCATCCTCCTCCAGGGCCTGATGGGTAATTCCCCCGAGAAGCTCCGTTATCAGTCACTCTTGAAGTGAGCTCGACAGTTGTTGGGTGTAGTTGCCTGGTTACAGTTGCTATCCTTTTGACTTCCTCCCCTTTTTTTCTCTCTCTCTCTCTCTCTCTCTCTCTCTCTCTCTCTTGCTGTTTTGATTTCTCCTCCCTTTCTCTCCCTCTCTTCACACTCTTTACTCGGCTCTGTTAGTCTCTAACAGCCCTCAAACTGCAACCTCATTTTCGTTCAGGACTTCTTTCTGAAAGGAAGTTGTGAAGGTTGTTTGGTCCTTTTGAGATTCTACCGCCGCCTCCTCTTCCACCCCCACCTCCTCCCTTTCAGCAGACTGCCCTTGTGAGCACGCTCTGTCATCTGCATGTCTCCTTGTAGAGGCTTTTTTTGTTTTGTAAAACCTTGTTCTTTGGTTGCCTGGACACAGACTCCTAGCATCTTTTCTTCAGGTGCCCCTCTTGATGGGAGTTGCCCCCCCCCCACCCCCCGCCCCCTTCGCTCTCCATCACACACACAAAAGGTTTCTCCATTGTGTGAATATACACTTTGCTGCTTGATTTTCAACGAACGTGAATATACACATGTGCACAAACACAGTGTGATTACAAACTGCTGCTAAATAAAGCAAAATAAACAAATAATGTTTTCAGTTGGCACGGCATGATTTTAACAAAAGAAGAAGCTAATTGCTCCTCATTAAGGCTGTGCTGAAATGAACCGAGGCTGACAACAAGCAAAGTGAATTTTCTGTCCTCCCCCTGTAGGATAAAGCATGAGAACATTGTGGCTCTGGAGGACATCTACGAGAGCTCAAACCATCTGTACCTCATAATGCAGCTGTAAGTACATCAACCCTCCACTTTGTTTTGTCTGGGTTAGCTCTTTGTCTCCCACTCGGCCATCTATTTTGATGCGTTTTTTTTGTCATGAATAAGTGTTATGTCCTTGTGGTATTTTTGCCCTCAGTTGAATGTTTGAGTGAATACAGTAATGCTTTAAAGATCAACGAGATATTACATAATATTGTTCTCCGAGGGTATAAGAAGATTGATACCACACTAATATCTGTCCGTGGCAGAGGTCGTGTGGCGGATTGTTCGTCTCAAGTATTATTATTATTATTATTATCATATTTGAGTCACAGAGCGAGGCATCTGTTCTGAAGGTATTTCCCGGAAACTCAGACACCTGGATGCAATAATATTCTGTCTGCTGCATGATAAAAAAGATTTGTATTCCTTTCTACCAGAATGTTTTTATGACACAAGGAAAACAAGAGCACTTCATTTTATTGTTGATATAAAATAATAGAATCATATACAGATGGTATTTGATAGTATGTATATTTACAATACTAGAAAGTAACACTAATATAGAGAATTATAACTGATAATGAAATGTTTTCATTTTCAGAATCAGAACTGTTTATTGCCAAGTACGTTGCACATACAAGGAATTCGACTCGGTGAATGCTGCTTAACACTAAACACAGTGCACTAGTATGCGACATAATTTCAAAATAGAAACATTTGCAATAAAATATGGTAAACAAACAAGTATATTATTAAAGTGGCAAGTGTATATTAATAGAGGGAAGATGTGCAAGGGTGTGTAACTGTAAGAAATTGTCCTGGGGATGTAAGTGTCTGAGTCAGCGGGGGTCCCGGGCTTTGTTGATGAACCCAACTGCAGACGGGAAGAAACAGTTTTTGTGGTGTGAGGTCTTGGTCCTGATGGACCACAGCCTCCTGCCTGAGGGAAGGGACTCGAATAGTTTTTGTCCAGGGTGAGAGGGGTCGGCTACAATCTTTCTCACAGGGTGATGGGGGCAGGTGGGGCTGCGTTCTTGCGGAAATCCACAACCATGTCCACTGTCTTTAGAGCATTGAGCTCTAAGTTGTCCGCACCAGGTCACCAGATGGTGTTGTGGAAAATATTCCTATACCCGCTTTGCGTGAGTCTTTTAATGCTGAAACACAGAATACCAAAAACCAGGTTGTCTTTTAAGTATTTATTTATTATTCGCAGGGAAGGTTCAATCATCACAACAGAATGCGTACAGTCTCAATGAGGAAGAACCAAGAACCAAGTGAACAAGCTTTCTTTATACAGAATGAGCAAAGGTAGGGGCCGATGGCCAATGTTACAGACATTTCAGTCTCAGACTGATAGGAACAACAATGAAAAACAAACGGTCAGCAACCAAAGCAAGCGGCCCAAAGGCCTTGGTGCTGCAACATTCTCATACAGCACAGTTAGTTATCTTTGTGAACAGGCAAGGGAGAACTCTTCTTCTGCACAACAGAGACACGGTGAAGTTCAACAAAGTTCAGAGCAAAATTACTTATGCATGAGTACAATATACACAGTAGAAATATATACTAGGGAAAAAATGACCATTACAATGGTCAATATCCCACCTGTAGGCGGACTCATTTCCAACCAGAGATGATAGTCACCTTACACTGTAAGGTGACTATCATTGACCGGCGTACAGTCAACGGTTTCAATGCTGTCGTCAACACAGTGAATAAGCTTATTTTCTTTAAGCTCAGAATGCTTGAGCTTCAGCTTGAGTCGAGGCCGTCACAGATGTTGAGTCTACCTAATGGTCATATTTGAGGACGTTGATGTTGCAAATATCTTGTGAACTGTATTTCAGTGTTTGAAGGTGTATGTGTGTAAAGCTCTGTGCTGGTTTCCTGTGTGGCATATGTCATTATTTTAGAGACCTTTCCAACATCATTTAACAGCTTTTGTGACTAATGCACAAGCGATTATCTGCTCTCATTGTAGCTCTGCAAAGGTGCGTAATGTTGCCTTGAAGTCTCACTTATAAAAATGGTGATTGGCAGTCGTCCTTGAAAGCGTGCACATGATGCTCAACTTAATAAGTCACTCTTTTTTTTTCCTTTTGTCAATGCATTTTTAAAGTAGTCGAGATTAATTTCTGGTACATCAGTTGCGAACCCTTCAGGGTTACATAATGTGACAAAGGAATGATACTCAGAAGTCATGATGCCATATGATGAATACTGGAAAAACTGCGTTTGGAAAAATAAAGTAGCCCACACTATAAACTGCCGAAAAATGAATCATCCAGTCAATTCTTGCACTGAGCTGAATGAGATCTTTCTATTATGTTGTCCATTCCATGTACTGAACGTGTACCAGTGTCATTGTTGTGTCCCAGTAATGATTATAATCTTTATTGTTACAAAGAGCTTCACGGTCAAACTGAATAACTAAAATAATTTGGACAATGCAAGTGTTTTGATCAATAAACATTTAGTCTATCAAATTAACTGAAAACTGACAATTCACGAAAAAACACCCCTTTCTAGAGAAATGCAGGTGTGTGGAAATATATATATTTTTTAGGATAGATTTAAAGGAATGAATCAACAAGGACTCTGTTATGGAGTTTGGGGGTCCTGACAGTAAATGCACAATCTGCAGGATCTAAAGTGCAGCTACATGTAGCCCACCTGGTACTAATGACAAATACTAGTCAGCCAACCAACTTTTTGTATTCAGTGTTTTTACATGAAATCAATCATTTGTGATCAGGTAATATACTAATATTACAAAGAACATACCACTTAAAAATAAATTGATGAACTTATCTGTGGTGACAGGGTGTCTGGAGGCGAGCTGTTTGACCGCATCGTGGAGAAAGGTTTCTACACAGAGATGGATGCCAGTCGACTCATTCGGCAGGTTTTGGATGCAGTCAACTATCTGCACTCTATGGGCATAGTGCACAGAGACCTAAAGGTACAACAGTGAGTTCACTCCGAGCTGAACCTTTCAGTCGTACTGAGAGGGGGAAATTCCTGCTATTTAACGTGAGTGAATGACATTACGTGAGAGCTTTATGAGGATCACCCACAGAGGTTAAATGTCGGGGATTTTCCTTCTCGGGTAAAACTGATGAAGCTTCTTGGATGAGCTGTAAAACGACCCAACTCTTCACTGACAAATCCAAGGGATTTAGTTTCACATTTTGTCTGATATCTTGCCGCCAGGATGACTGAAATGAATCCACACAAACGGTACATGAGGTCATATGAAGACACAAACACACATGCAATCGTCTAACTCTTTTTCTCTTATTTCAAGCCGGAGAACCTGCTGTACTTCAGTCCCCATGATGAATCCAAAATCATGATCAGTGACTTTGGCTTGTCAAAGATGGAGGGAACGGGTGACGTGATGGCCACCGCCTGTGGGACTCCAGGATACGTTGGTGAGGACGCCGTCTGAGCTCTGGAAACATCCTCCGAGATAATTAGATGCACTAGTTGGCTAAACATGATCTAATCTAATCTGCCAGAAGCCACAGGTCAACCTCAGCCATCTGCTACAGGCAAACCAACACACATTTACATTCTTCTCCAGCCTCTGTGTCATGGTGAATGGTCAAAACACTTGATGACTGTTAGTTTTTCTGACCATTTTTAATAATTAACTTCATTGTTCCAGCTCCTGAGGTTTTGGCTCAGAAGCCCTACAGTAAAGCTGTGGACTGTTGGTCTATTGGGGTCATCGCTTATATTCTGTAAGTTTTCACTTTAAAATATATCTATGGTTATTAACTGAAACTTATTTGTGTGTTTGATATGCTTCATGTGTTGTTGTTTTTTAACCTTTTATTTAAATAGGAAATTCAGAAACCACAAGCAAATCCTCATTAAGATTAGAAACCTCTTTGTCAAGAGTTCCCTGCCCAAGAAAGGGATCAAAGTGAAGAGTTACAAACAAACATCATAAAACCAAAAAATAAGCAAGAGTCTACAGCCATGCTAGCTCTGTGAGGCTGTATGTACTTAGGCTGTCGTTAGCATGTTAGCATAACGATACGATAATGCTAACATATTGGTGTTTAGCAGGTACAAGGTTCACATCTTTTTGCTGTGTACGAAATCTAAACTACTACTATTTTTACTGTTACTACTGCATACTGATTCTGAGTTGTTTTTTTTTAGTATGTAGTGCCTTTACACTTTATTAAATCTGTGTAAAAACATTTAGATGTATATGTGTGAAGTTCAGTTGACAGTTTGATCGACAACTGACATCACACACATTATATTCTTATCAGTATCAAAGGGTTTAGTCTGATATTTTGGTAAATTAAAAGCTTAAACATACTATGACGAATTGGTTTGGATTTGGAGCACAGCTTTAGCGCTAAACACAAAGTACAGCTGAGGCTGATGGGAATTTCATAAGCTTTGGATATAAATCAAAGTATTGGACAGATTTAAAGAAGAACAGATTTAATTAGGTTTCACCCTGAGGGGAGCAGGAATATCTGTGCCAAATTTGCCAGCAACATTTGTTGAGATATTTCACTCAGAAACAAAAATATAAATCTCGTGTGGGAGCTAGATGAAAAGTCAAACTATCACCAAAATGATTAGGACTCATCCTCTGGGGACCATGAACATTTGATGGTAATCATCCTAGCGTTGTCAAGATATTTCAGTCTGGACCAAAGTTTTGTATTGGTCAACGGACTAACGAAGTCATCGAGAGGCACTCTATAGCGTGGCTGAAATAGCAAAAGATGTAAAAACATCGATAAGATTAATATGAACGATCACATTCTAAAAACAATACAATGTGGCGCCTTCAAAGAAAACGTAAAAGCAGTCTAAAACAGTCAGACCTAAAATATATGAAACCAAATCCCAATTCTAATATACACCATTGGATCGGAGTCTGACTGATTCCCACAGCTACTGGTCCTATTTTACAGAACCTGTAAAGCTTTCAGTGTAAAGTGTTGCTGCCAAATGAATTAAGTGGTTTTGCTCGTTAGCAAAGACAAAATCCCTCGTCTCGTTATCCATTCATTAGGTGTGAGGAATGTTAAGGTAATTGAGTGGAATGAGTCTGGTGGTTTTTATGGAATAATCTGTTTCATAATCAAGATCAGACTTTTAATCTGCAGTTTGCATTCTTATCCATTCTTATCCATATCATATGAAAATATGAACCGTTTTTATCCTATTTTATTTCCCTCTTAGCCTTCATGTCGTCTCTGTAATCCCTCTGAACCGTCTCCTGTTGTATGCTATAGGAACAATCTAACTGCCAGTGAATGAGATTAGGTCACAGCAAATCCTTTTTTAGATTTGGGTTAAAGTTTCCAACATCAGCTAGAGGACGGCACTCTCACAGATTGTTGTTGTGTAATCATCCATCTTCATCTTTCCAGGCTGTGTGGTTACCCTCCTTTCTATGACGAGAATGATTCGAAGCTCTTTGAGCAGATTCTCAAGGCCGACTATGAGTTCGACGCACCGTATTGGGATGACATATCAGACTCCGGTGAGCTATGATGTGTGTGTGTGTGTGTGTGTGTGTGTGTGTGTGTGTGTGTGTGTGTGTGGTTTAAATGGCATACTCATCTGACAACCTTTTACTGCCTTTAATTCTCAATTCATAATTCATAGAGTCTTCTGGTCAGCATGTTGGCTCAAAATGTGTCTTTTACGGCCATGCATACAGTTAAAAAATATGGAGGATTATGTTTATGAGATTACATAAGTATTTTACTGAGTTTAAATATTACCATTATTTCAAGGAAATTCCTTTGGAACTCGGCCACATCTTGTAACCTCCACACTGCTGTAACATGTCCTGGTTCAACTAAAGTAATTAAACTTGTATTTAGTACGTTAGTAGAACATCATCTGTATTTTCTCTATAATTACTACTAAATTACATACTTTTCAGGACCTATCTTAGGAAAAACTTGTGGTTGCAGGACCCTACGCTGTTTCAGAGTACACAACCTGTTCTCATCTGACTAGTTTTTCACCTTTTCATTTCCCTCTGCAGCCAAAGACTTCATCAGCCACCTAATGGAGAAGGACCCAGAGAAGAGATTCATATGTGACCAGGCTCTTGAGCACCCTTGGTGAGAAGCTAACCGCCGCACACCACACTGCACCCCAGCCAGACAATCGCAGGGAACCACACACATTTTGGTGTGATTAAACCGCAGTTTGACGCAGCTCGCCAGGCTTGCGCATTTGTCATGGAGAAAATGTCCTCCCACTGTCATCTGTCGCCATGGCTCCGAGTCGCGAACCCACATCTGCTCGGCACCGCCAGCCCTCTGAGAGAAATCCGCTGAATAACTGGCTGCCAATTAGCAGCTGGTATCCTGAAGGATCCTTGAAGAATTTGGAAGCTTTAATGAACAATTATGATGTCTTCCCAGGCCTGAGCCGGAGGTAACGAGAGCGAGCGGGCGTGGGCCGCTGTCTCTGGCTGAGGTGGCCAATATGGATAGGTCTGTTCGCCCTTAATGGGCCTTTTGGGTCCTGGGCAGGTTGGGCCTCTCATACAAATATGTGTTTTGCGACACCAGTAACGGGTGTAATAACAGAGAGAAATGGCTTCCACTGACAAGGTTTCACACATAGATATTATGATGAATGTGACAGACAGAGATGCAGTGTGTGAGCTTCCGCGAAAACATTGCATCAAACAAAGACGTTGTAGCAGAATGAAAATAAATGATCCGAGTAAATAGGAAAAAGCAGCACGAGGACGATTCTCAGAGGTATTGCAGATCCAAATATAAACCATTTGGGTAATGCTGTGTTTGTGTGTGTGAATTGCTGTTTGCATCATCTAAAACTTGACTTCACTTTTCAGGATTGCCGGAGACACTGCTCTCTGCAAGAACATACACGAATCAGTCAGTCGACAGATGCGGAAAAACTTTGCCAAAAGCAAATGGAGGGTGAGCCCACAAGACTGATCAGAAACACAATATTCTCTATCTTCTTGAATAGCGGAACCACGCAGTGGTTTGTCTGGTATTACATGTCTGTTTACGCTCTTCACAGCAAGCCTTCAATGCCACGGCTGTAATCCGCCACATGAGGCGTCTGCAGCTGGGCACCAGCTTTGGCAGCAGCATTCACAACACCGTGTCCAGCCCTCAGAGTCGTGCTCCAGCCAAGAGCCAGTCTGTGGACTGCGCCCCGCTCTCCCCGAAGGACTGTGAGTGACACTTCAGATGTCTCTGCAGACACAAACATGTCCAAGTTTTAGTGCCACGCTCGGCTCTGTTCACTCTGCTGCCCTCGTCGTTGAGATAATTGGAAACTGTTTAAAAAGCTCCTGAGGGGGAAATTGTCATTCAAGCAGACTAAACTGATTTGACATGAGCCATGTGGTCACTACATTTGTGGAGCCATTTAATGTAACATAAGATCTGTGACAGTACCGCCTCACTAATAAACTGTGTTTACTAGTTAAGTCATTTATTAAACAAACAAGATAAACATTTGCTGCTTCCAACTTTTCCAATGTGAAGTTTTACTGCTTTTATGTGTTTGATATCATTGTACATTAATTAACTTTATTTTGGACTGTTGGTCAAGACGTCACCTTTAGATCAGCGAAAGTATAAAATCAATTAATAGACGATTCATGTGTTATTATTATGTGTTCATTATATATTGTAATGGTGACAGTCAGTTCAATATGCTGCGATTGACAACAATGACAAACTAATCTTAACTCAAGGTCCACTTATTAGCTTCTTCCTGGCCTTTAAACCACATCTCATGGTTTATTATCAGCAGATAGTTTTCTGATATAGCTCAGTGTTATTATCTCCGCCAGGAGAATCAGGCGATCACTCGTGTGCGTCCGTGAATAAGTGAGGGAGTATGCACTGCTTTGTCTGTCCACGGCTAATCGTGTATTCTGCTGTATAATATTTTGATGTCTAGTTATGGCTGCATGCTCAAGGATCTCTCATGGTTGCGGTGACTCGCACCTTTTATTGCCTGTTTTATTCTGCCATTGACTTAGCTGAGGCACGCGCCTGTACAATCTGTTTTGTGTGACATGCAAGTGAAACACACACACACACACACACACGCACACTGATATACGGTCTAGGAGGGTTAGCCTATTGTGTTCATTTAATCACACAATACAACAGTAGTCGTTGCAGACACACCTGGCCAAGATCTGCTTAAAGGACTTAAAGGATGAGCCTGGTGATATTTTATATTTTGTTTATTGTCAATAAATCCAAAGAAAAGACCTAAACCTATCATTAATTGCTCCTACTGTATTGTCTGTGCAGCCAAAACCTGATAGAGCTTATTCTTCTATGTCATAGAGCTCCGCTGTTGTCCAAACACTATTAAAAACACATAAATGAGTCACACTGTTGCTCTGGGTGACTTCATTACGGTGACCATTGTAGTTTATTGCCACCGTGCTGCGGTAAATACTCATCAGAGCACCAAATATGTGTTAGTCTTGGGCTGAAAATTGTTATTTACTCCAGTTTGCGGAACATTTGCTGACAGCGTTGTGCTTTAAGAAAATGAAAATAAATATTTGTGACTTTATTTGAAAGATGTACGTCTTCAGTTAGAACCGTTGGGCGCGGGGATGAGTGCCACAGACAGGCTTGAGCATTCGTTAAGTATTGACTGATGACTTTGAGGTCGGGTTGTGCTCGCTCAGAACTTATTTGTACGACGGGCTGTCTGACCATATCGGAAAAAGTCTGTTTGTTGTTCCGAAACGACCTTACTCGATTGCAGAATGAAAAACCAGCTGGCATAGAGAAGGGCAGATGCTTTATCCTTTGAATTATGGGGATAACGGTGCATATTTTCAGACAGTCTCTCCTGGATGACATTTAAAAATTGACAGAAGTTGTTGTCTGACACATAACAAAGGAGAGCTGAGGGAGAAGTTAAAACCATGTCTCCTTTCTCACCTCCGCACAACTGGCCAATGGCAGTGTCAATATTTTTGTTTTGTCAAACAAAACTCTTTGCTGATACTGTATTTCCTCCCTCAGGTCCCCCAATAGAACCTTTGCCCTCTGCAGTTAAAGTGTTCAACCAGGACTCTGACGCCCCTTCTGCTGCACTGGAGGAACCATCCGTGGTGGCCGAGCCATCGCGCCCGCGGCCCTCCACCGTTACGGTCATCCACACTGGGACTAAATGACGCCAGGTTCCGCGGGAGGTGAGCTGGGAGACCACAGAGCTTTGAGACGGGGAAACAACCTTCCCCAGGCCTCAACGTCGTCGCCCAGTTTGCTCATCCCGCAACCTCCCATCTGTTTCTGCCAACCACGGGAGGAATTTAAGGAGCGTTGGCTCAGCCCGGCACCCCCCGCTGCTTCCCTTCCCACTCTCATACAGACCTGGAAGGACAGAGGGGAAGATGCTCACCAGAAGTTGTTATTGTGGGAGCCATACTCAGCCTGGATCATGGTTGCCTGGCAGATAAACAGGCAGCTGGGGAAGTGCCACACTAAAGGGAACTCTTTATTGACGCTGCTATCAGTTTTGACTGCGAGTGTCTCGAGAAAAGGACGCTGAGCTGTATGCCTTGTGTAAATATCCTGCCTGGAAATGTTGAATGGTGTCATGTTATGCAAGTGAAATATAGGCTTCAAGCTGTGGTAAATAATTGTGACATCATCTGAACTCTGAACTTCTTCTTGTCGTTTTGACAGCTCTTGTTAATTTGCTGTAGTGTTTTCTCTTTGCTTTAAAGTGTGTGAGCAGGACGATGGGCTTCAGTCACGACTGTGATCGCTGAGAGGGCCGGTGCATTGCACTAATGCATTGGATTATTTATTTTCTTACAATATATTATGACTTTTGTAAGATATGTGTAAATGTGCTATTAGACATGACTGAAAAGCTATTGAATTGACTGATAAAGATACAGTATCTAATAGTTGTTACTTTGTAATTGATGTTTTATTTGATGAATTCATTTTTTTTTGGACGTGACTGTGAAGTCCTCCTTGACCACAGGAGGGCAACCATGTGTTGTTGCTGTGACCAGTTCTCAGGGATGTGCTCCAACATGAAACCAACCAAAACCTTCTCACTGCTGGTGAGGACGGGGAAATAGTTAAAGAGTAAAACCTCCAAATACTGCATGTTGTTCTAATGTGCCATTGGGAGAGTTTGACAGATGTCTCTCTTTAAATCCATCATTATTGACCGTATGAGTGTAATGTAACTTATACTGAATGAATTGTTCTTCCCTTTAAAAACCTTGAATCGTGTTTGGATTTAAAGAAAGTTGTGTTTATCAGTGAAGTGAGCGTAAAAATGTAAAATGACAAATGAATGCAAATGTATCTTCATAACGAATGCTCCCACTGCCGAATTAATCCGTAGTGTTCAGTTCAGTATAGTCGTACTATCGTGCTCTGCTTCCGCTCATGGAGTGGCTGGTCTGAGAACGGCTCACTCGCTCTGTGTTTAATCACTGTGCTTTCAGACCAGCCTGTTGAATTTAGCAGAAAGACTCTCCTTCTCACTCGTCTAGAGACTCCTACACACAGAGAAAAGAAGGTATCTGTCTTTCTCTGTGGTACCTCTATTTGAATTTAAATCACTCCTCCAGAATATGCCCAACATCGAGGGCTTTGCCATCTTGAATTATCTAAAAATATTGTGGTGAATATTGACATCTTACTGTAAATACAAAAGCTCAACTACACAGTTAGCTTGGGTCTTGAGTGTTCATTTTTGGCTTCCCCTATATTCCCCCCCCCAAAAAAATATCAGCAGAAAGCAGAAATCTGATGCATTGCAAGCCCCTCCGCTTGCATGTATAACTATTGTTGCAGAAATGTGCTGTGGAGTTGTATTAAAAAAAATGCATGCATGAGTTGTTGCTTCTTGAAGAGGGAGTAAATGGTCAAATTAGTTCAGTTTGTACACATTTATTACAATACAAATACAGATTCATTATGTTAAAAGACTTAATTTCATCACAAGTGAGTAAATGTATGGTGAAAACAGTAGATTCACACTTCTAATGGTAGCATATAAATCATTGCACATCTATTTAACCCAGGCCCTCCTTCACATCAACATACTTCATATTGTTTTATCGACTTGATACTTAATGACTTTACTCATTTTTTTGAGAATTGCTTGTAAACATGATGTTGAACTGATGGCACGTCTGCTACAGAGAATTCTGCGTTACTTCTGTTCAGGGTTTAAGAGACCGCAGCTGTTGAATACAACAGATTTGCATCTGCTCTATAATTATAATTGGTGTTGACAGAACTCTTTATGCAGCACTACGCCTCCATAATCCTGAACAAGTCTATTTGGATTTCTGTTATTGGACTTATATAACAGTTTGTTCTGACAGATGTGTTTTTCTTTAGGGGCTCTAAATGATCCTAAGCATGACTAACTATTCAGGACAGCATGCTGTTCAATTCTTTGTCTGTGAATTACTTTATATTTTTTAAGCAAATCCTCCAATTGTTCAAATTCTTCTCAGTCCACTATAATATTAAATTGACTATAATTGTTTTTTGGCTGTTGGTTGGACAAATCAAACAATCTCACAGCTTCTGTTTTTGGGATGATCTCATTTCCCCAGTTTTCTGACATTTTATAGATCAAATGAATCGATTCATTTTAAAAGTATTCGATTGATTAATCGCTAATGAAAATAATCCTGATGTACAGCCCTAAATGAAGGACATTTATATTTGTTTTCCCCTAACCCATTACATATAAGACATCCCTTATGAATAATGACAATGTTTACTGGCCATTTCTGTACTGTGTCACCTTCGTTAAATGTGCAAGCCCAGTTTGTTGCACAGAGAAAGGCACTTACATTTACTATATATATATATATATATATATATACACTAAATATTGTGTTTTAATTCAAAAGTTCAATAGAAAAGAGAAAAAGGTGAAAGAAATAGGAAAATGTTTGCAATTATTGCTATTACTGTTACTTACACATACAGCAGTGAGGAAGTAAAAGCCAATGTCAACAACACAAGGGTGAAAAACAAGCTAAAAGTCTCATAGCTGACATCTCTACTATATAAGTGTCACGGTCAGAGGAGAAAGGCCTCATTGTGTAGTTAAAGATGTTTCTTTAAACGCTCACAGCATCACCTCTCTCCTCCCTCACTGCCCACGGCCTCAGATGGACTGACGGTCGTACTACTGAGGAGGATGCATCCCGTCGTAGTGATACTCCCTCCACTGCTCGGTGCTCTCTCTGGACCTCTCGTCTTGTTCTGGGAAGATTTAGAGGATTTTAGTGGATGAATGAGCTTGGTGGAGTGAATGAAATCATCCCTCTCAGCTACATCGGGTATTACCATCATTCTCCTCTTCAGCGTAGTTCTCAAATTCGTTCCTCTTCTGCTCGTGGAACTCTCTCCTCCGCTCATCTGCAGCCAGAATCTGCCTCTGCTCAGCTGCAAGCACAGAGGAGGAGGATGAGGATGCATTAACTGAGTGTAAAAGGATAAACATCTTCGACTCAGTAGTTCTTTTGTCATAGTAATATGAGGAGGATTTGATGATGAAGTAAACTGAACATCAGACACATACACTCAACACAATAACTGTTTGACGTCTGAAAACTACAACCTACCACAGAAATGAATCACTTTATCTGAACAAAAGCTGATATTTGTGAACTTCATAAAGCCGGTATTTGTGGTGAAGCTGTGAATCACAGGAGCTGATGGTTACCAAGGCCGACACTCAAAAACACAAAAAGCTGGACCCCAAAGTCACGAAAGAAGTCTAATGAGTAATGTCTATTTTTCAGATCCAAAAATACCCACAAAGGTCCATCTTTCTACAAAACTCACACTTCTACTAAAAGCTTGTACAAACACATCCAAGCTTGGTTACTTCAATTCAACATGCATTGTTGTTTCTTTCTTTTCTGCCAACCAAGCACAACATTTTTTTTACCATGTTGAGAAAATACTCCAAAAAAATGTATAAAAACACAAGCTTCAAGTTCAAGCATTCACTGGGGCGGTTTGCAGCCGAGTGTGAAGCGGCGGGGATGAGAGTTTAGCACCTCCAAATCTGAGGCCATGGTTCTCTGCCGGAAACCGGTGGATTGCTCCCTCCAGGTGGGGACGGAGTGCCTACCTCAAGCGAAGGAGTTCAAGTATCTTGGGGTCTTGTTAAACCGGAGTTTTAATGTTTTAATGATTTACCGATGACCTGCAGATGAAGACATCTGAGGGCAACAACATACTGTTTTATAACTTTGCACAGCAGCGTAAATCTTCCATCATTATCTTCGCCTGACTCACCGCAGCAGACGTGCTTCTCATGGCTCACCAACTCTCACATAAGAGCAGCATTTAGAGTCTGGTGTCTACGTTTTCATGTCAATAATGTGCTTCATAAATTCACTGTATCCACCATCTGAATACATTTCATCAAATATTTTCCTTTGCAAATTTCACCCGCCTGCCAGCAAATTGTTGTGCTTTCATGTCATTATGCAGCAGGAGAGGCTCTTCAAAGTGAGCACAGTTTATTTGTCTCACTTGTTTTACTTTGGTTTTTCTCTGACCCCTTTCTGCCTGTGTGTCGGCACATTCCACATTCAACAGTGAGCCAACCCGCTCATCCACTCACTCTCAGTCCATCTCAGTCTGTTCACTGTGTTTACGGCTTTGTGTTCACTTTATCCCAGCTTTTAACAGCACAAAGTGTCTTGTTGTTACACACAGACACCTCACAGCATGTTACACAACTCTATCAGAGCAGCGGTCTCAGTGTGTGCTCTCACCTTCCTGTTGGCAGAACTGTACATAACAGTGCCGTTGAATCTCTCGAGAATGTCAAACAGTGTACAGTATGTGAATTTTCACAACACTTTCAAGGAGAATATTCACTGATTTACTCGTGCGGTGAGTGTGTGTGTGTGTGTGAGCTCCATGCTGCCCTGTAGGTCCTTCTGCAGCATCCAGCAGGGGAGGCAGGGCTGCTGTGTGAACAGACAGGTCTGAGGTTGTCTCTGGTCAGGCCAGGGTCACAAAACAGTTACCAGCTGCTGGCTGTCATAAAAACATTCAGATGGTCATTCACTTACTGTTCATTCAAACTACAAAAATCTAAAATATATATATATTTCATCTGTCTTAGTGGCAAAAATGACATTTTCTTGAAGCAAGAGAGAGAAATATGTCATTGTGGTTATTGAACAATGTCAACTGTTTCGATGATTACAATACAGTGTTTCTTTATGCGCAGGATAAAAAGGCATTGGAGAGTATTTTCTCTTTATTTCACGCTGTATTCATGCTTAATAAACGTTGTTTGTATGATTAGTGCTTTGTTTTGTCAATGTCGGACATATTAGCATAATTTTTTTCTTTACAAGGGATGTATTTTTTCTAAGAGGCAGAAAATGTCTCATTCACATCAATTAAATCAGATAAAATATTTTTTTTAGAATCAAATATTGTTGATGCTGGTGGAGGAGTCTGCTCTCTCCTATATCTTGTTTACAGAGAATTACACTAATTTCTAGGAAAGTATGTAAACATTTGCTGGATTTATCTGAGCTCTTTAGCAGAATTTGTTTCATTTTTTTAACAGGTTACAATTGCAAAGCTTTTGCACATTGTACAGTTTTAAAGACAGGTGTGAAGGAAAAGCTCTTGACTGTTTGCAAACCAAAGAATCCTACACAGCGTTATCACAAGTTTGGATGCAACGTGACGACTTCCATCGTGGCATTACAGTGAAGAAAATGTCCTGTGCAATACGACACAGATGCCAACAATTACCACAAACACACAACACCCTCGGCGGACCAGACCTCAGTTCAAACTGCCACAAACAAACCCAGTGAAACCCCAGTGAACTCACCGTTAATCTCATCCTGAGACTTTGCACCCCGTCTGGTGCGTCTTCTGAAGAAGTTTGAGGCGTCTGACTCCTTCATGAAGATCTTCTTCAGTGGACCTGCAGTGGGGAGCAGGTGGAGTTTCAGCTTACAGCATGAAGGGATAAACAGAGGGGATGAAGAAGAAGAGAAGCAGCTGATGTAGCTCCTCACCTTGTGGGTCTTTAGCGCTGCCTGTGCTGCTGGGCACAGCTGCAGACTCTGCCTCTGGAGACCCTATAGGACAAAACGTGAGGGCTCGACATTTAAAATACTCCATGCACACAAAGAAAACAGAAACCATCACATAAATGATCCTGCATCAGACTCACAGGAAAGTGCCAGAAGCACAGTGAGGAGAGCCAGGAGGGTTGCATATGTCCAGGACATCTTCAGCTCTGGGTCTGAATTTGTTGAGAGATACGAGTAATGTGGAAGACCAGGAAGGAGAGGTGAGTATGTGAGAGGTGGGGTGGGAGCCTGGCGCAATATTGAGTGTTTGTCAGAGGAGAGGGAGGGTGGAGATCTGATGAGAGGCTGAATCCATAACAGCAGGGAGGGTTTCCAAGTGACAGGAAGCTGCTGAGGATTTAATTTTGACTTGATAAATTTATTTTGCTCCTTTAACCACTTATTTTTCTAAGTTTCATGAACCTGTGAAGGCTTGTTTCTTTAGTCTCAGAGGGGGAAACTTATAGGCCTCACTATAGAAATTACACTACAGGCTGAATATGCACCTCTTACCCAGTTAATACCCACAGTTACGAGAGAAAATGGATGACAGACAACAAAAACACATTGACGTTTCTGGGGGAAAAAAAGTGTTTTTCTTGCCAAATGTCTCCTTTGCAGATGCAGCTGAAAGAGGCCCCTCAACAAGCCTGCTCTCTCTGCTTCTTGCATAAAGTCCTGCTGGAAAGTATGCAACCTTCTGTTTGCTTCAGTTTTATTTTTTCTCCCACCTGAATTCTGTCAGTGCCCCAGAAAAGCCTGAATGTTTAAAGTGTTTTTGTGGGGCAATCCAAGGTGGAGGGATTGTTGGTGAGGGAAGTGAGAAGAAATTGGAGAGAAGGTTTCAGAATATGTGTTTGAAGTTTGTTCGGGTAAGCGAACTCAACAGCTGTTAAATTCCACAGCATGTGAGTTTTGAATTCAGGCAAAAGGTTACATTGTTTTTTTGTTTATCCTGTTTTGTTTGTTTGTTTGTTAGTTAAACGTGTTTATATTTTTGGAAACAACTGTCATCGAAAACTTGTTGGCAAATATAATGCAGAATGGACCATTTCAAAATAACGTATATTATAATATAGCAACTGAAGTGTAGTGGTGTAAAAGTTTAAAGTAGCAGAAAATTGACGTAAAGTAGCATAAGTACACAGAAATGTACTTGAGTGCAGTTACTTCACATCATTGATGGTACTTTTCCTTGAATGAAGTTGTGAATGCTTGTCTTTTACTTGAGACAGAGTATTCATATAATGGTGGTGGTGTTGCTTCTTTGTGGATGTAGTGCAACATTTCCTCCACTAGGGGCCGCTGTAGGGCAACTCTGACAATCTCTCTGCAGTTACCAGCACCAACCATTAGGCGACGCTGTTTCCCCGCTGACACTTTCGATGACACGGCTGTGTGGCGGCAGGCAGGCAGCGTCAGCAGGCAGAGAGGACACACTCCGATCAACCATCGTCTCTCACACTGCCATGGTCGAAGAAAACGACAACAGCGCTTCCTATTTTCTGCCGGGAGTGAAACTTTAAAGCCATGATGCTGAACGTCACAGCACCGCGGATATAAGCGACAGAAAGTACCTCCACACCGAAACCCCAAAAGAAGAAGAAGAAGAAGAAGCAGTTCTTTTTATTTTTTTTCAGGCTCGGAGGGAAAGACGGCATCCGGCCTGAAAAGAAGCTCCGAGGTCGGGGACTCCGGTCGGAGCAACGTTCATCGTTTCTGGTGAGAGTCACTCACATTATGTCGGTGTAGTTTCTGGGAATTGAACCGCCGGTTAAGGGGCACGAGACACATTCCCACCGCACTGCGTTGACACTAAACCGGGCTTTAACTATGTTCACTTCACAGCCCTGCGGCGTGAATGCAGCCGGTATTGTCGTGTGAGCTCTATTCACTTTGTCCCACTCACAGGTGAATGGCCGCGTTTAACGAAAACACACTGCGAGGTGAGCTCCACGCAGCTTAAAAGAATGGTGAAGTACGTCCAGAGTGGTTAATGCTCCATCATGTCTGCCCTCACGGTTCAAACATTAGTGTCAGCTTTGTTGTTTCAACGCAGACTGGTTAGTTGTCACTACATTGAACGAGGTTTTGCTTGTCTGTGCTCGCTGCTCTGCATGTGTCGTCCTCCATAGTTGCCACTAAAACATTCACTGACCCACATTTTACAGGTGGACTGGTCTTTATTCTTCCTCAAACTATTTATGAAGCATCGTTCAAAACTGTAGCGGCCTCTGATCTCACACACACAGTCGGTATTAACAGCTTTAAGCCGTCTCAACTGTTTGTGTGAAGGATCAGCAGACAGCAGCCTGTAGTTCGAGAAGGACTCCAGGAATCTCAGCTTTCAATGAAATGAAATGTTCCTGTGTCTTCTTCCTAACCGGTGTGGCGGTGAACTGTGTGTGTGTGTGTGTGTGTGTGTGTGTGTGTGTGTGTGTGTGTGTGTGTGTGTGTGTGTGTGAGGGGGGCAGGATGTCCAAAAGGAAGACATCATTGTTGTGCTCATTGGAAGTTCATCTGGTGTGAATACACCCAGGAGCCTCTGTGGTTACATGTTTATTGTTGTTGTGTTGTCTACTGACTCATGTAGGGTAGATGTAAAACAGAAAGTCTAAAACTTCTCAAATGTGAACATTTGAGAAGTTAGAACCAGTTCTACTGAAGAACATTACTTGCACGATAATCAAAACACGTTCAGGTTATTTTCTGTTGATCGACTAATAGCTTTATCAGCTAATCGTTTCAGCTGTGGTTAGATAACATCGTATCATTGTGATTTGATTCTTCTGCTCAAGTGTCGGTAATTGGTGATATTGAATCATCACACTGCATACTATTTATATCAAATATAAGTTTAAAAAATATATTTTAAATATCTTATTTTGAGGATGATCAGTGTTTTTCTACAGCAGCTGAAAAAGTACTTTGCTTAAATATATATATATATAGTCAAAAATATGACTTAAACCACAAACCCCCTGATAAAAAAACAAGCATTCAGTGAAAAGCTTTTGGTGCTTTTTTCTTTATTTATTGTTTTTTTCAGACAAATAACATGTAACAGTAGTTTCAAATTAGGCTTTAAGTACGTACAGAACAGAAGATCAAGAAAGAAAACGAGACTTAAAATATACATGCATAAAATAAAGCGATAAAATAAAGCCTTTAATGCTTTTGATACTGTGCTATGGAAACATGGTGGTCAGTACCAAAACATACCCACCCGTCCTATCCGTCACTCTACAGTTTACATTGTTTTACTTCATGAAAGCGCTGTCGAGGCACTTTCTCTCATTTCCTGTGAGCAGCATTCAGTTTGACAGCCACAAGCTGCTGAGCTTCCTTGAGAGATGTGCATCATTCAGAAGCTTTTAGGAGGTGTGTCGATTTGTGTGTGTGCTTAAAATACCTGGTGTTGAGCCTGGTACCTGTAGGAGGGTGTGTGTGTGTGTGTGTGTGTGTGTGTGTGTGTGTGTGTGTGTGTGTGTGTGTGTGTGTGTGTGTGTGTGTGTGTGTGTGTGTGTGTGTGTGTGTGTTGGTCTGACGTGGTCTCGTTCCCTTGGTGAAGGCCTTGGGATGGTGGTGGCAGTGCAACCCGAGCTGCTGTGAAACAGCTGTAGCCATGCGCTGCTGATCCCTGGAGTCCCAGTGCAGATCAAATGATGGCCCAGTATATGTGTGTGTGTGTGAGAGTGTGAGAGAGAGAGAGAGCGAGAGCATACACATTAATAGATGTGTTTTTGCCAGAGATTCATTCTCTACTTTTTGAACATCTAATTATACGCGGAAGGATTTCAAACCAAACTTCATAGACTTTATGGGCGATTTTTAATCTGTTTTTGCTGATTCGAATGTGAGTTCCGAGCGTGTTTGTGTGCGTGTTTTTAGCGGCAGGCCAAGGCAGCTGGCTGAAGGTTAATGTGTCACCGCTCTCTGGGGAGCAGCTGCTATGTCACAGGCACCACTCCTGTCTATAGATAGCCATGAATACAAACTCTTCCTCTTTTCTTTGCTGCATTAAAACAAGAACTCTGGCCCCTCAGGGGCCCCTCGCATGCAGTTGCACCGCAAGACAAATGCTGCTGCTGGCAAGTTTGGCCGCCCTCCACTCCCAGATTCTCTCTGTCAGACTGAATCTTGGGAGTGTGTGGTGGAAGTAAAGACCCCACTGAGCCAGCTGGATGAGAACCTGTTTGACAGAGTTCTCATGTAATACCTCACTCCACATATCTGGGTCGTCATCTGAATGTCTGGAACAGGTGAGGGACAAATATTGCCTTTTTTCCCCGTCCCTCTTGGCAGGATTTGCGGGAGCTATTTGAACACTTGTCTGGTCTTTATTTGGAAGCGGACACACACACACACATACATACCGTCCAAACCGACGTTATTGCAGCCAGCATAGCTGCACATATTTGAGATGTGCCGAGTTGTTCATAATTAAGTTCTCACTGGTTTAATAATAGGCCACGTTAAATCCATGTGTTTGTTCTTTTAATTAGGCCCACTCTACCGTGGCTCAGTAGGTCTTTCTAATCTGGGATTGAGAAGGTTGGCCAATGTTTGGTGTAAAGTAATTTGCTTCTCAATGACAATATCAATTTTCCATTTATTTCAAAGCTTAGTGAGTTTCTCACAACTAACAAGCGGGAAAGAAGAAGGAACGAGATCAAAACAAGTTTTGGCTTGTTAGGACTATTGGCTCTGTTTCATATTTTTATGAAATGTCTCAAGTTAAAGCTATTTAGAGCTCAATAAGTCGATCGATTTGTCACCAACATACTTGGTGTTTTTTTGAAGACACACAGACAAAACAATAGACACCACCTTAACTTTCTGCAGGGTCTTCCCTGTGTTTGGCATGCTGTCTGTCTGAAGTGACTACAAAGGCTACTGAGAGCCGTCTGTGTTTGCAGTTTGATTGTGAAGCTGATATTCTGATAACCTCTCACTCCCGTCTGCCCTCGGTTAGATAGCAGCTTGGCCTGTTGTTGCCTTTGAACAGCCATGAAAGGTTATCAAGAATCTCCGCTGCATCGATGAGCGCAGACGAGCCGGGGCGGGGGGGGGGCTAATCGTCGCTCTCTCTGATGCTAATGCTCCGCTCACAAATGGACGCCAGGTGACTTCACTCAGATGAGATGAGTCCACGCCTGGGCCATTATCTCCGTAATGAGTCAGTGATAATCATCCTTTTATCTAGACACAATGAAGGCTGTCAATATATTTAAATACATATTAAGAAATAATAACATCTAAAATCCTCGTTTTTTTTTTATCCACAAAGGATTTCCAACCACAACACTTTTGATGGATGTTTTTAAAAAACTGTTTTACATGTGAATGACACACAAGTCTGCCGCCTACCAGATGCTATCAGGCGCTATCTGTTGATCTCAGCCGGGTCCGCGAGGCTTATCTGTCACAATTCATGCAGCCCCTTCATCCCATTCATTAACGGTGTTATCATGTGACGTGTTAGTGGTGCTTTAGATGTATCGCTTACATGTGAATGATGTGTTTCATTGTAAAAGCCGTAGTTATTCGGGACATATTTATGAAGGGAAATTAATCAAGAAAATTGAAAAGCAATTTTTGACCCGTTCGTCTACAAAACTCTTTAACTGCAGCTACGAACTCGCAATGTTGAACTTGCTCATCGACTGTCTGTCTGCAGAGTTGGGCCACAGCAGAAGGCTTAGAGAGGAGCAGACCTGTCACTCAAGCCGCCATCACCACAGCAGCAATGTTAATCAGCTAGTGTTGAATCTTGTCTGTGAAGATCTGTGCCCGTGTGCGTCTCTGGTCTGGTCTGGCCTCGTCCTTCGGCCACTGGCTCTAGGCTCAGACTTCTGTTGTATCTCTCACACACACACACACACACACACTGACACAGCAGCACAGACCTGTCTATCTGCACCAACTAGCCCTGCAGACACACAGGTGACACGTGTGACAAGTATGAAAGCAGGGTGGGGGAGAAAGAGTGTGCATGTCATTAAGGATGGAAAAGAGCAAAGAAAAGACGACAACTTGATGAGACCCTTTTCCATGTGCGTGGTCTTTGGTTAAGTTCAGACACATCTCACTGTTTCATTATATGTTCACCTGCTGCAGTGCGTGGGGGGGAAGCATGCCTGCCTGGTTGTCATGCTCAGCTCAGCACCACGCAGCACACAAACTACCTCCCGCGTCTCTATTTTATTTTTTACTGTGCACAATGCAGCCTTTATGTTAGGCTCCCATGATGGAGCCAGCTCCTTCACTCATGTCCTCATTGTCTTGGCCAGGATGAGAAAAGGCTGCTCTTTAGAAAAAAACAAAAGGCTGAGCTCACCCTGTGAATCACGCCAACAGTCACGCTTGTTCTTTGTCGTCTTCTGTGTGCCAAGCAGTCCGGGAAGGAGAGGCAGACGTGTTCTAGGACCCCCGTCCTCCTGACGGCGGTGACGTGAGGTGGTTTACTGAACCCTGCGGGGGGGTCATGGAGAGGTTGCGACCTTTCTTTTCCTGTTTCTTGTGGGTGGCCCAGACAAGCAGGAAGGGGATGGTGGCTGTGATGCGATTGGTTCATCTACAGCAGAACTGGGACAATTGCACAGACTTCTTCTGCGGTGATTGTGGAGCATTAGTCTGGCTTTACAGGGCTGTCGTGGGGGATTGGGGGGGTTGTTCCTCACAGCAGGAACTCTTTACCCCTTTAGTAGTCGCCGTCTGCTCGTGGCTGCAGGGGGGAAAAAGGACAGAATCCATATGAAGCATGTGTGTATTGTCACCACTGCAGCACCCATACTGCTCCTCCTCGCTCCTGCTTCCCCACCTCGCTTCTACCTCTCGCCGACTGAACTGCCAGGAACATCGGAGGTGGGAAATGCAATTTAAACATACAGCGGGAGGTTTGTCAGTGAGGCGAGTGCTGTGTAGCTTTGGGTGTTGATGGTTTAGGGAATGAAAAAGCAGACGTAGTCTGGAGGGGGGGGGGGGGGGGGTTGCTACAGGTTGTGAGATGGGGGAGACGCAAAATCTGCATGCATGCAGTCTCCTGTCGTGCTCTGCATTTTCAACATGGAAAAAGCAGTCGGGTTGCTGTGGTAACAAATCCACAATCGTGGACCTCGGACGCCCGCTCCCCCCTCCTCCCCCCTGCTCCCTGGCCACCTCCCAGCAGATCTAGAGCTCAGACCGGCCTACTTAGGGGAGCAGGAATAAGGCTCGCAACAGGGATCATGTCCAAAGCTCGGCACTCGATCCCACAGCAGGAACTTGGGCCAGCGGATGGGGGGGTGCACAGTAGACCCCCCCCCCCCCCCCTTCTCTTTTCCTCCTCCCTACTGCTCCATTAACTTTCCATTGAACACTCAGAAAGTGATTTGTATCCACAGAGTCTGCACAGGATAGTAGGTCAAACCCTGGTTATTTATGGGATGTTGATGTGCTCCGTCTTCTACATTCATAAATTCAGAAGGGATTCTGCATATCACCATGGAAACTGAAGACAGATTTACTGCCAAAAAACAGAAACGGGGAATGTCCTGTGAATTTATCCCAATTTTGGTGCCAGATAATCCTTGAGTTTATCCCAATGATTGTAAACACAACACACACTGATTTTGTTTGCCTTTTTCTTTTTTTCTATTACTCCTATAAATTTATGAAAAGTCCACAAAATAGCGTGAAATACGTAGATCCTGCGGTGACTTCTTCCAGCCTAGTGTATCCGCTCCAAACCAGTTGAATGAAATGCGCCTAATTTGGGAAGAAAGACAGGAAACAGTCCCTGTTGTCTCTTCCAGGGCACCCTTCTATAGTGGTTCATTACATTCTTCTGCCTCGGTATGATGAGTGCACTTATTCTATGCAGCGCACATGTTGCAGGCTGAGCTCGACGCTGCAGCAGCAGAGCGGGTAACGCAGTGGGCTGTCGGGGAGACGACGGGCCGCTTGTTCACGCTGGAGCTGACGCGTCACGAGGCGGACTGATGTGAAGCCGTTATGACACTCGAGTTGACGCTCTGCCTCCTCTCGGATCCTGGAATAGTTAGATTGATTGTTGCTTGACTGAGAGCACAGAAGGGCAAGTGTGTATGAACGTAGTGCAAGACGAGATGATTATGTAAAATATATATTCTGACCAGTCCGAATTTAAAAAACAAACAGGCTGTAGTGAAGAAGAGTGCTCCATCCCTTGTGCGTATGACCTGGTAGGTTTGCTCTATATGCCAAAATTAAACTTTGATGTTGTGATTGCTGGCCAGAATCGAACCAGGAAGCAAGTACTCGTCCTAAACCACTCAACAACAGGACGCCCCTGGATGAGTTCTACCGTCATGGTGCATGATTTCTAGGTAGTAGGTCTGCCTCACTGCTATCAGAAGATAGAAGAAGTTTCCTTTAAATGCTCATGATCTCCAGTAATATTTTGTCTTTGTACTGTCCCAGTTTGCTTTGGCCTTGAGCCCAGTTCAGCTGGTTGCTGCTCTGTGGAGGGAATGGGGGCCGACTCTCTGCCTCCTAAAGCTCCATACGTACAAACTTTTTTTAGACTTTGTCGGGTGAAAAATGAAGCTTCTGACTCATCTTTATCTTCTCAAGGTTTTTCATCAAGGCGCCATGTTTGCTACAGTACTTTGCTGCCACCGTCACCATGTTTTTGGACTTGTTCACCACTTTGACTTGTTTTTAAGTCAAATCTGATTTGTCAGTTTGGGCTAATGCTTCTCCCAATCTCCACCGTAATAATCAACAACAATCTGTTAATCGTTTACGTTGTTTGTCGGGCACAAAGACTAGAAATTCTTTGTTTCATATTGTTGTAAATTGAATAACAAAGAGTATTGTTTCAAGAAAGAGCCAAACCTTTCAACTGACGGTTCAAAGCATCAACATTTAGACTGCAGCTTTAGTTTCAGCCGTAATCAGATTCCACCACCTTGTTGTTACTTGGCTCTGGCCGTGTAAGTACGTTACGACAGAGATCAGGTTATGAGCGATATCTGGAAGACACGAGGGAGAAGCTGACGGGCAGCGAGCCCTGAGGGCTTCCACTATCATTCATATGTGCTCATGTCTGGATTTACTCATCGCCGTCACAGACAGACAGACACATGTCCGTATCTGCAGCAGTAGTGGAGTCACGATCTCTACATGTAGGTCACGGGGAGAGGCTGCCTGTAATCTGCCAAACATTCCTAAATATCTTGATGTCTTCATTTGAACTCCTTTGTTCCTCTTCTCAGGGATTCTCTCTCACACACACACACACACACACACACACACACACATATATACTGTCTCTAGCTCTCACAGTCAGTTACTCTCATGTACACAGTAAATGCAGCTGGAATGTGTGATGTGGACTCGATGCGGCCCAGGCTAGTCCGGCTCCATTCAGGAGCAAATCCCCCTGGTTTAGGATTTGCTTTTACAGTCCGGTAAGCCGGGCCACCGTACTCTAAACTCACCCGTAAGAATCTCTCACCAACTTGTAATGTTTTCCCAGGAGGAGGAATGTAAAGCAATGTGCCCGAATGAGCTGAGTCATAATTAACGCCTGAGTGCCGATTCATCCGTGTCGTTGGTGATTCAACGACGTCCTCGATTTCAGTTTGACTCTCGATGTGGGATTGTGAAACAATGCTGCAGACGGACGAGGTGTATTCTTTTCAATTAAAGGCAGTTTACAGTTTTGTCTGTGAAATGTCAAGGCCTGCGACAACCATACAGCTCACAGATAGTGGTGGTAGAGTAGTCTTCTGTAAGAAACAAAACTAAAAACAAGCTGTATCTGTTCATATCATTGTGTAGGGTTACAACCACCGCTCAAATATGCATTGTTTTATTTGTCGTCCTCAGGCCTCCCCTTCCCGAGAGCTCCATGGAGAAGATGAAGCGGTTCAAGCGGCGTCTCTCGCAGACGTTACGAGGCAGCCACACCATCGACGAGTCGCTGTCTGAGCTGGCCGAGCAGATGACCATCGAGGAGAACGCCCTGAAGGACAGCGGTGAGGTTCAGGAGCAGTCTGTCAACGTTGATGCGACACTTTATATGATATTGAGTCGGACGTATTTTTATATTGATTTATACATTTATCTCAATGCTCTTCAACATAGTAACACAAGATAATGAAACAGTTGTGGGGTTATGAATGTTATGACCGTTACTTTTGTCTTTTCTTTCTATCGAACAACCATGAGCCAACGCTCTGCACCATAAGCCCTTTTCACACATGGTATCTGTCATATTGCTGGCTTCATTTGTCTCTTCAAGTATTTTTTGTTTTTGGCATTCATATAGTGTTTAATAACACGCCGATGTATAGTAGAGATGCTACTCTCAGCACCATCATTGACAGCGTGCACAAACATTTATGTAACATTTTCTCCAAAACTGCACCAATTTACAGGACCTTCCATCACTTAAAGAAATCTCTAAATAGAAGTACTTGCAGGTTAACGGACGAATACAATCCAACTGGAAATGAAGTGCAGTATGTTGCACTTTAGTGAGCTTTATGTCTTCTTCACTCTGAAGGCTGAAGAACTTCCACACAGACGACAAGATTATTTATTGGTATTTCTATATTAAATAACATATATAATGATAGAGGATTGCATATTTATCATCCACAACTACATTTTGTTACGTAAAGACGGTTATTTTGGATTATTGTGGCTCTTGGTTCCATTACAGGAGCGTTGGTGCTGCTGGAGAGCAGTGGTGAGGTGTAACATTATATGAAAGACAGACAGGTTGCATCAGTAAAGGATTTTAAAACATTTACTGCAGTTTAATAACTTTTTTTCTCTCCATCACTCAGTAAACAAGGGACACTGTAGTCTAACCATAACCATCAGAAACCAAGCTCATCGTCATGCCTCAGAGGTTTATTCAAACACGTTTACGTAATGAAGTGCATGTCTGAAATAGGGTTTAGTTGCTCTTTTTTAATGGACTACATTTATATCGCACTTTCATCCAAAGCCAAATCCAATTATTATCTAACACTTATCAGAATCTGAAAGCCGACTGAGTTAAACCGCTCTATATGTTCAGATATATATGCTTAGATCAGGTTTCTGCAAAGTCTAATCTACGCATCAGTTGCAGTTCGTGATACTCCGACAGAGTATTTAGCTCAAGGATTGGATATTTCTTACTGAAATGCCACTTGGGAGTCGTTTACTTTTGTCCTTAAAGGGATTTTTTGTTTTTTTTTGAAGATGGTTGTATGAGGTTCTTAACTTTATAACCTCCAGTAGATGGAGGTCTGCACGCGCACAGTTTGGGGAAACAGACGGGAGTAAAGCAATGATCTAAAATAATCTATCAGTTTAAGTTTATGCTTTATCTAGAATATTTCACTTTTCCCTTTCCGACGGGGAACTGAAGCCGTTATCTGTGCTCTCTGATTTAAAAACAGTCCGGAGAACACGAGAGCTGCTTGTCTACCGCGACCTCGATTGGTTAATTTGTTTGTGTTGGTTAGTTAGTTTGTGTTGTTGTTGTTGGTTAGTTTGTGTGGTTGTTGGTTAGTTTGTGTGGTTGTTGGTTAGTTTGTGGTGTTGTTGGTTAGTTAGTTAGTGTTGTTGGTTAGTTGGTGTTGTCGGTTAGATTGTGTTGTTGTTGGTTAGTTAGTGTTGTTGTTGGTTAGTGTTGTTGTCGGTTAGTTAGTGTTGTGTCGGTTAGTTTCTGTTGTTGTGTGACTTTGGTGAATCTGAACTCGCCCTTTAAAACAACATGGACTATGGATCAGTACCTCACTCTACCCGACACAATCCAAACTATCCCTATAAGCTTTTAAGTGAGTCGAAGCCTTGGAAATGTCACTTAAACATTGACTATATACAGAAAACAATGTGACATTTACAGCAATAACTCTTTATTTATGTTACTGTAGAGGCACTCTGTTCCACAGTCGTAGATACTCTAGTTCCTCACGTCGTTCATCTGGATGCTGCTGAAGGCTGCGGCCTTAAAGGCCTCGCAATAAAAGCATCGTCGCACCGCGGCTTATCTCCGCTGATATTCACAAAGTCTACAGGAAGCGAGGGGGCGAGGGAGTGAGGGGAGGGAGCACGACTCGGTGTACTACCACGTCCGTTGCCATGGCGCTCAGGATCTGGAAACCTTCTAGAGTTTCCATGACATTGCCACGGCAACTTGGATGACTTGGTGAAACCGGCCATGCATCTCGATGCATTCTTTCAACTCTTCTTCCTCTCTTTTGGCCACCCAGAGTTCCTCTTTCAGTCCTGTCCTCGGTTTTCTGTTGTCTTTTGTCCAATTGGGACGGGTTTTTTTTCACCTTCTTCAATTAATCAGATCGTCCAAGTCCCCCTCCCCCCCCCTCTGAGAACTAACAGGGCTTTGCAAAGAGCTTTTTGTATAGTGATTAACACCAGGTTTGCCCAGAGTGGTGTGTGTGTGTGTGTGTGTGTGGGTGCGTGGGTGTGTGGGTGCGTGGGTGCGTGTGCGCGCGTCCGCTTAGCAGCCTGTGTAACAGTAAATAGGGGGTAGAGAGGAGACAGAACGGGGTAGCCAGATGAGATGCGATCTGAACTCTGTGATTGGGGAAAGCGTTGTGGTTCTGATCTGATTATGTAACACTTCTAACTGAGGCCAGCAGCTGCAAAGAGATAAGAGAGGGGTGGCATCAGGGCCTGGAAGTTACACGGGGTCTGTGTTTTCTTCTGTTTTCATAGGACATCTAGGAAACGCCTCATCGGTGTAGAAGGGAAAACTGACAAATTGTTGACATGGCTTGTAATATAGGACACACCATATGTTCCATAGTTTTGACATATGTGGTTACAAAACTGTTACGTGGTGGAATCTGTTTTTCAGCCCACAGTGCTCTGAACCCTGTGAGCTTAATGTTGTCAATGAGATTTTAGTCTATAAATGTATTGAGCCTGGAAACTAGAAGCCAGACAAATGAGAAAGCAATGGGGGGGGTTTAGATGATGACATGGATTGCTTCCTCCAAAGCTTTTAAGTCTTCAATATTTATTATTAGGTATTGTTGATACAAAATGAGTCATGACTCTGCAACTACATGTCTTATTTCCTGATAAATGTGACAGAACAGTCGCCGATGGTTGACCGCCCAGTCAGCGGTGCATTTATCTAATCAGGTGTGGGAAGGGTCGCTGTGACGTCTCAGTGAAGTGGAGGACAGTCAGCCATCAGTTATACAGCACAAAACAATTACACATCGAGGCCAGCAAGAATACTGTGACGAAAACAAAACCTTAGTGATGGCTTTGTAATTCTAACTCTCAATGAAAAACATAAAAATCATATGCCACAGCATATATTGTCACATAGTAAATTTAATTTTAAATAATCTGCAATGTCTTTTGGCTAATCCATCCATTAAAATACACGTCCGTCTGCCTGAGGTCTGTCTGCCTGTGAAACAGCTTCTCTGGGTCCACATTCTCCCCTCATCCACAGTCGGTGTTTCAGTTGGTCCTTCTTTATTCATAATCAATCGTTCACCTCTGTCGGCTCCATTCTTGCATTTAGACAAATGCTCCGCTGTAATGGCAGTTTTAGACCCTCCAGCAAAAGAAATCCACTGCTGCTGACTGAAGACGTTTTGTTTACCCACTTCTCATATTGGCTATTTACAGTATGCAGGTCACACTGGACGAGAGAACAGACCACATTGTAACTGCTATGAAGTAACCCTTGTTTCAATGGGATATTCTGGAAATATCAAAGCACATTAAACTGCACCAAATCCCACTGGTGGCTCCAAGGTTGTTTTATTTATATCGCCAAGACAAGTACTGTTATGTTTAAGCTTTTAGGTTGTTTTCAGGTGTGCTAAAACTGACAATATCACAAATTCTCATGCATATGTAACACATTGCAATACCTTAAACAGTATACAGTACTCGATCTACTGTGTAATCTGATGTCTATGGTAACAGTGATTCTGTTTCTTTCATCAGTCCTTTGCTTTTATCATCTCAGTTTTTCTTGGATGTTGGCTGTTTTCTTCTGTTTCTCTCTTTTAAACCCGTGAAGAAGAGAATTCAGTGTTCTTGTTCAAGTCCATTTGTGGAAACATGCTTCATGTGGAATAATATTTGTTCAGCGTGCATTTGACTATCTCACTTCTTCACAGCAATTAACTGATATTACATGCACATCTAATCATCAGTAGAATACGAGTTGAAACCTCTTATGTAACGGTGATTATGCTAAGTAACCAGTAATGTATAGTTAGAGCTTCAGAAAGCTTTTAGTCTGTTAGAACTTGTCTTCCAAATATCATTGAGAAGTTCATTTCTAAAATGTTGTAAAGGGATTCAGTGTTTCTGTTACCAGTAGCATTAATACCGTCACAGGCGGGCTCACATTCCTGCTCAGACATTTTTTCTCAGACAAATGTTGTTTCTCCTTCCACAGAGCCGATAGTGAGGAATGGTCGTCCTCCGTCGGCCCACAGTGTGCACTCCTTCCTGCACCAGTACACGGGCTCATTTAAAAAGCCGCCGCTGCGACGGCCCCCGAGCGTCATCGGAGGAGGCCCGGGCTCTCTCATGGTGATGCCTCGCAACGGCAGTCGTCTCGGTGAGAGAGAGAGAGAGAGAGAGAGAGAGAGAGAGACACACACACACACACACACACACACACAAGGCTGTGATCACATTTAACATTTGCGTTTTTTGTGACCTTTTATTTAGTTTCAAGAGGTAGAATCTGTTCAGAAGTTGCAACAGTAGCTAGATTGTTTTTGTATTTCTACAGAGTCAGCTGAGCCTACACGCACACACAGATATATTATGTGCTCAAACAAACCACAGCTTGAGGCATATGTTGCAGACACACACACACACACACACACATAAATATCCGTACAATCGCTCCAGTGTTGCATTCAGACTCACAATAAGCCATTTGTTAAAGAATGAGCCTATAAATACTTACTTTGGACACTTCCAGCAAACCAACAGCTTGGATTCCTAACCCAGATACAATATTTAAAATATTCACAACACTCCCTAATATAAACATGAAGCTTGGAGGAATGTGCTTTATATCAATGAAGCAGGAGTTTGTTTAGGCGTGGGAAGATTACAGGGTGATCGTGATGTATGGATTTGTCTTGTAAGGCCCCGTGGCAATGAAATAAATGAAATCTATCAGTCAAACTTATTAAACCTAATGTACTTCTTGTGTATCTCTTCACATATACACACACCTGACACGGCCAGAAGATTTATGAGAACAGAGGCACTCATAAAAGTGTCAAGAGAGTTGTTTTTCTTTCCTGTTGAAGTCATCAGCCGGTGTTTCCACAGACCTGCTTCATCCGTCAAACTCCACCTCTCAGCCTAACTTTCTGTCTTTCTCCACTCCAGATATCGTCCACGAGAACCTGAAGATGGGGTCTGACGGGGAGAGCGACCAGGCGTCGGGGACTTCCTCGGATGAGGTGCAGTCGCCGACGGGTGTCTGTCTGCGGAACAGAGGGAACAGACGCATCTCTGCAGAGGTGGGGCTCGTTTCTTTCAGATTTCAACCTTGCGAAGCCTTTCTACCTTTTTTTTTTTTTTTTTTTAATGGCGAATACGTTGTGGGCAACATGAGTCACTGCAACAGTTATTTGTCTGCCTCCACATTGTCGTTGAAGGTATGTTTTGATTAATTCACTTAAGAGTGAAGGAATCTGAGCGATTGATTATGAATTTATGATGAATGAAGAGTTACTGTTTATTAATGTGCGTCACTGCACCATGCTGTTGTTCGTAGAACAACACGCCGAAGTCCTGAGCTGCCCACAAAATCTCAGCAGGGGACACAAACACACACACACACACACACACACATACTGTTCTGCTGAACTGAACATCCTTTGTAAATCTGTTTTAAAAAGGTTTCACAGCTGCTACCACCACCAGCAGCCAACCCCCTTACTTACTTTCACCCTCTCTTTTAACACACACACACACACACACACACACACACACACACAGAGTCGGTAAAGGACGGGCAGATTATGACATTCCTCTGTTGGTTACATAATGTCAACACATTATGGAAAGACCTCTCGCTGTGATTATTATCATTATATTCTGTTTCATTTTACCATGAAGTTCCAACGTTTGAGAACAAAAGCAGCTGTTGTAGAGCTACAGTTGTCCTGGCTTACTGCATGCTGCTAAGCAGAGTTTTATTCGGCAGAGCATATGGAAAGACAGACGTGCACACAAATGTAGAGTGAGATAAAGAGTGAAAGCTTTAATCCAACCGGCTCGGAGGGACACAGAGAGGCAGTGTGGAGCAAGAAGGGAAATAAAGTGTCCGCATCGGTGTTTTCTGGAATTTTTCAGATTTCGGACATTGACTTGCATCATATTATTGTGTAGGTTTCTGTAGTGATTGAAGAGGAACTAATTACATCAGTGTTTGATGCTCCTTTCATTTTTTTTTTATTTTTTTTTTATTGTTTAACATATATAATCAATACATTTTAACATGATGATTGGATTGAGGACCCCTGGTTTCGGCTGTGTATTAACACACACACACACACACACGCACACACACACACACACACACACACACACGCACGCCGTTAAATGAAATGTAGTTTTAAACTCTTAAAAAACAATCAAAACATGACACCCGACAAAGTAAAGGTGTTGCAAACAAAGTTTCCATAAAAGCACTCAAGCTAATTAAATTAACAACAATTTACGTTTAACAGACAGAGCAGTCACGTACTTCTATCTGTACTTCGCCGTGTGGTTGATGTCGACATCTTGCCAGTGAACCACATGTTGCACAGCACCTGCTGGGCGATCATGCGAGCAGACGTCTTGTGACCACACACCTCCCTCTCTCCGACGCTGTTCATTGGTTGGTTTGATTGCAGGAAGTCTGGGGATTTACGAGCAGATACAAGTAGCTACGAACCAAACATGCAAGACTGCAAGAAAGGAAACATTACTAACATTACCCATTACTAACCACACACAGAGACATGACACACCATCTCTCGCTGTGTAACGACGGTGTGTGCGAGCAGTGCACCCCACACTTCCTGTGACTGTTTCACAACCTGAAGGGAGTTTATTTAGACAGAAGCAAGAACACAAACAAACGGTTTTATACTTTCTCACAGCCCAACACTCGGTGTCTTGTTCCTTCATTTCTTTTGTGATGTAACACTCAGAGGGGGAACAGTAGTAGAAGAAGAGGAGGAGGAGTGAGAAAATCCCTCCGTCTGTGTTCAGGTAGAGGATTGTGCGTCTCTCACTGGAGAGGAAGAAACGCTGTTTTGGGATTACATCACAAGGATTACTGTAATACGGTACAGATGGGCCCCTGTTGGCCCAGATTAGGCGGGTTGATTGGACAACTGGAGGAGGGGGGGGGGCAGCGACGCAAACACACATGGATGGCATTGTTTGCTCTGAGGACAACACTGACCCAGCACACAGAAAATATGAAATGTTATTCATAAATACAGATACATCAAACCATATTCACATGACTTTATTTGTAGATTCATCAAAACACCTTCGAGTACAGTATATGCAGCTTTGTAAGTTAATAATATATATCCGGTAAGAAGCAATATTTTTATGAAAGAATACCAAAAAAAAGCAAAAGAGCTAAATCTGTCTTGTTGCACAGCAGAGTAACATTTCTGATCAACACATCCACATATTAACATATTTATTAATGCCCTGTGCAATGTGCAATATGTCTTATTTCCATAAGTTGTAATACAAAACTTCACTTCCTATAAAACTGAGTCCATCAGCTGTAATCAACAAGGAAGTCAAAAGGCTGAGTCACTGTTGTGGTTTGAATGTGAGGCTTAAGGATCGGCTCACTCAAGTCGAGGCAACTTCAGTTACAGATTCATCAATGAGCTTGTTGTTGAATTGTGGGAAGTTCAAGTTGTATGTTAGCAGGGAGGGAGGGAGGGGTGTTACTAAGTGTTGAGAGAGAGAGAGAGAGAGAGAGAGAGAGAGAGAGAGAGGCCGGATTAACAGTAATCTAACAAATAGAGGAAATGCATGATGGGAAGAATCCTGACGTTGCATTGTGAGCGTGTGTTTGATTTTATGTAACATCATGCTTTAGTACTTTGTTGCTCTGGGAAAGACTTTACCTCGGACTCTTAAAGGGCTCCACAGGCTGCCTTTAATGCTTACACAAGACTGCTACACGAAACTACATAAACCCATGCTGCCACACACACTGCCCTCTCTGTTGACCGATGAGGCCTAAAGCTGGCTGGTTCTTCCACATTCTACTTGTTTACTCTGGGGTTTCACCTTTTTGTTGTCGATCACTGGTATTTATTCAGAGCTTACGCTGTTTGCTGAAGGTTTACGCCGTTTTTTTCATGGTCATACATCATGTTGACACTGTTTTTAAATGAGGTTCTCTGTTTTTTTTGTGTGTGTGTGCAGGACCTGAACAAACGTCTGTCCCTGCCGGCTGATATCCGGATACCTGATGGTTACCTGGAGAAGCTGCAGCTGAGCAGCCCGCCCTTCGACCAGCCGCTGAGCCGACGCTCCCGCAGAGCATCACTGGTGAGAGAGAGAGAGAGAGAGAGGGGGGGGGGGGAGAGAGGGAGAGAGAGAGGTTAGAGGGCAAGAAAGAAAAGACATTGTGGTCTTAAGAAAAAGGACAATTACAAATGTCTATTATTTCTAAGTGGATTTAAGTCACTGAATCTAAAGATGTGTCATGTCTTTGTCATGACACATGACGCAAATTAAATCAGTCCGGCGCTAGTATTATCATCACAGTCCTGCTCATTGCTTTTCAACATCGCCCGCAATGTGTCAAAAGGCGTTTGACATATTTATATATATATACTGTATATATCACTTCATGGCCTATAATCACCCTTGTGTTATCTAACATTTTGCAGATAAGATCTGGATCTGCAGGTAGCTCAGAGCCACACCTGTCAGATAAAGGGCGTGGAATAGAAGCTAAAATAATTCCCTGCTGCTCGTGAAACTCGAGTGCTGATTCTTCCAAACTGCTTATGTAAATATAGAGTACTCGCTGCCCACGTCTGAGAGCGAGCCGTTGTGATTGGACAATAAGCAGTGGAGAAGAATCGGTCAGAAAGGCCGTCGGGGAGGGGAAGGGGGGCTGCTCAACATACAGAGAGCTGTGAGAGTTTTATTTAAAGGAAGCCAGAAACAGAAGTGAGAGAATGAGAGCTCACACTTCGCTCCGTCTAATCTCATCCTCTCACTCGTGTTTTTATTTTGTACCCCAGCATTCACTATGTGAGCTGCCTCAATAATTGGCTTGTGGTTTTACTTTGAATATGCATCCGTCAAAAGCAACAGAGGAGAAGTATGAACACAGAGCCTCACCCAGTCCAGCGTATTTGCATACAAGCTCCCCTGCAGAGTTGTTTATAAATAGTATTGCACCTTAGTGTTTTTAAATTGTATTCTAAAGCCCATTAGGGATGCACCTAATGATTATTTACATGATCAATGAATCTGCAGTTTTTTTTGGCCATTTATACTTACAAAATGAGCCAAGACATTTTCTGTTGATTGACTTATTTATTAATTGACTCATTTTTGGTGGTCCAAGGCACTTGAGAGTTTTCCATTGTGTGTTTAACGTAACGTAAAGTTTGCCTTCCCTTCCCTGTAAACAAACACATTGTAAAAGCCAAAAGCCAACAGTCAGCTGTCACAAGAGATTAGCAATGATGGCGCAGGCTGTGTGTGACCTCCTTACATCCCCCCTCTGCTGCTGCGAGGCCGTCATAAGGATTTGCCGTCGTGTCTGTAAGCTTGTCAGTGCAAATAAAGACGCTACCCTCATTAATGGCGTTTGTCCTTTTCTCTTCTCCAGTCAGAAATTGGATTTGGGAAGCTGGAGACCTACATCAAACTGGACAAACTGGGGGAGGTACGTGAGAGTGTTTACCTTGACTTCTTCACAGGTGTTGATGTTCTCAGAGAATATATAACACGTGACGACACAGTTATAGGGCGTACCTTTAACCCCTGGCGGTCTGTCTCACCTGTTTCCTCCTGTCCTCCAGGGTACATACGCTACAGTCTTCAAGGGGAGAAGTAAGCTGACGGACAACCTTGTGGCGCTGAAGGAGATCAGACTGGAGCACGAGGAGGGGGCTCCATGCACGGCGATCAGAGAAGGTATTAAAGGTTCAGTGTGGAATCTCAGACATTACCCACTGTGGCCTCCCAGTTAGTCCCGTTTTGAAATGACTACATTTTAAGTTTGTACTATTATCTACATGTAGTTAACATGGAAGCACTAACAAGGTTTCAACACAAACTAAAAAATCTCCCAAACCTTCAGACTTTGGCAAGAATTCAACCCCAGTAACAAGTTCTGTTTGGTGCAATTAATGAAAAGCGTCAAACACTTGAAATAAGTTTTGAACTCGGGTGCTTTAACTCTAAATAAGTTCACCGAAGTGCCTGAAACTACTGGTTGCCCTCCCGGAGAAATGCATTGTGGGTACTTCGGAGTGAGAATGTCAGACCAACTACAGGACAGAAGTTATATAAGGAGAGTTATCTTTGTATATGGTGTTAAATCTGAGACTTTCTTTATAAGTCTGATACACTTGTGCGTGACGAGGCTTTGTGAATAGACCTCAGACGGCTCAGTGATTGTAAATTCATGCCGTCGTTACAGCTGTGTCCTCTTCCTCGTCCCCTAGTGTCGCTACTGAAGGACCTGAAACACGCCAACATTGTGACGCTGCACGATATCATCCACACAGAGAAGTCGCTCACACTGGTCTTCGAGTACCTGGTGAGACCAATGAAACCTTGACCCCTCACCTCTGCCTCACGGGTTTATGCTCTGCACGGACGCTACAATGAATACGTTTGACATCATTATTATTCATGACCCTCTGTGGAGTTGAGGATGAGGAGCACAACTGTTGATGTGCCTCTTTTAACGCCCCCCCCCCATCTAGGACAAAGACCTCAAGCAGTACATGGACGACTGTGGGAACATCCTGAGCATGCAGAATGTCAAGGTGAGCCTCCACAGGCACCCTGCTGGGCCGGCCAACTTCATCAACTGCCATGACTTTGGTGGTTGCTGCTTTCGTCAATACAAGAAACACTTAGTGTGCCCCCTGGTGGTGGAACGTAGGCAGTGGAGGGAAAGTGAAATTTGTTTTCTTAACCCTTCTTTTCCACATAAATCTCTTGTTTGTGTGTGTTTTGTAGAAATGTGGTTAAATGTCTCTTCAAATAAGAAAAACACTTAAACTGCGTATTGAAGCTCAACTTTGACTGTCAATTAGTCCGCAATTTATAGATTTTATTTTTCTAAATCTATAATACAAAGGGGTTTGGATGGGGTTTGTGATGTAGCAACAGCATTTATTTATGATGATAGTTGCTGATCTAATATGTCTTTCCCTAGATTTTTCTGTACCAGATCCTGCGAGGACTGGCTTATTGTCACAAGCGGAAAGTTCTCCACAGAGACCTGAAGCCCCAGAATCTGCTCATCAATGACAGAGGAGAACTCAAACTTGCAGACTTTGGTAAAAACTACAGACGGTATTTGCATCAACTATCAATCTGTGTAAGATGAAAATTATTTTGTGTCATTTGGATTAAAAAAGGACTCCTGTTTTCCAACATATTTCCTCTATATTGTTCCATATTTAAAAAAAGGGTGAATATTTGGCATTTTTGAATTAAACCCGTCATCTGCAGTTTCTACTAAATGTGCCCATTCGATCCGTTTTCACATCTCATGTTTCTGCTCCACAGGCCTGGCGAGGGCCAAATCTGTGCCCACTAAAACATACTCTAACGAGGTGGTCACACTCTGGTACCGGCCCCCCGATGTGCTGCTGGGCTCCTCTGAGTACTCCACTCAGATAGACATGTGGTGAGTGGGCCTCGCTCAACAGGGACGATTACGACTGTTAGAAAATACTGATTAGACTCCCGGCTTCACGCTCTTTACGTTCACATGAACGTAGTGAAGGTGAAGAGGCAAATCCTCAACAGGAAAGAATTTCAGATTATTGTCTTTGATTATTCATAGTCTCGTACCATTCTGATGATGAAGTGCAGCAAATTTTTCTGACTTAATCCCTCCTGTCTGTGTCTTCCTGTCAGGGGTGTGGGCTGTATATTCTATGAGATGTCTGCCGGCAGGCCTCTGTTCCCCGGCTCCACCGTGGAGGATGAGCTGCATCTCATCTTCAGGCTGCTAGGTCAGTGCTGCCCCCTGCTGACAGGGGAGCACTCAAACATTTAGTACTTTAAATCGCATAAACCCTGGCATGTCGCCCCAGGGCAGTGTGAAAAGTCCCTCCAGCTGCCGTGGACTAGCCTGACTAATAAGGTCGATTGAATGTCCCTCCACAGGCACTCCCACAGAAGACAGCTGGCCTGGAATATCCTCTATGGACGAGTTCAAATCCTACAAGTTCCCCAAGTACAAGGTTCAGCCGCTCATAAACCACGCACCGAGGTAAGACTGGGACCCTTGTCATATCCTGAGCATCTATATCTGCATTGTCTTTTATACATTACATCAGATGTAGTGTGCTGCAGCTTATCGAATGTCTCGTGGGCTTATTCCAGATGTTTAGATAGCAATTCTACACCTTTACAATTTCTTAACACTGCCCCCCTTACCTTTCTCGTTAGCCCTCTAATCACTGGAGATGGAAATGAGCCCATTTTTCTAATCAGACCCAGGTATGGGAGAAGTTACTGCATGTAACGTTTAGATTTGAGAGTTAGACGTTGGCATCGTTGGTTTGTTTAGTTAGGAGTGTGTGCTCTTCCTGTAAGGAAATCCTGTGGAATAGTTGACTGTGTTTCCTTCCTGACACTCGCCTGCATCTGTGAGTCACCCCACCTCTACTGACCTCTCTCCTGCTCTCCCCCCCCCCCCCCCCCCCCC